CCAGGAAGCTCATGGTGACTGCCTAATCATGTACCCCTATGGATTAATTACTGTGACAGTGTTTCCTTCAGAGTAACTTATAATTTTGTTTGTGTTCTAATTCTTTACTTGCTTAATTATTTGAGAGGCACACAGGCCAACAGGCAGCCAGTAAGAGTTCTTATCCTCTGTTCACATCTGAAAATGACCACAAGGACCAGCGGAGAATCAGCCAGAAGGTTGGAAGTCAGAATTCAAATCCAGTTTCTATTAGGCCTGGAGGCATTGTGACACACTTGAGAGAAAGTCTTAGTCCAGGCCAAGTTTAGCAGGCAGGGAAGAACCTGCTGGAGCATGCTCATGCCAGACAACCGCGTGAGATAAACTCCGGTCCAGGGTATCTGGCACTGGGATTTTACACAGCTCACGAGGGTCGGGAAATGAGGTGGAGCTGAGGCTCCGTGCTCTGCCCAGGCTCCAGAAAAGGCTCTATGCCTGCCTATTGTTGCAGGAATTTTGACTCCGAGTATGGCAGCAACCTCAAATTCTTGTCTCGCAGGAAAGAAGAATTTTCATGCGGACACAGTTTAGTTTTAAAGCAGGATTTATTAGAAAGGCTGAGAAAAGAAGACTCCCGTCCTAGCGACGGGAGGGGGTTTTGAGATAGAAAAGACCCTTACCTCCTGCCATAGTGGCAGGAGGAAAAGGACCCTAGTCCTCTGCCATAGTGGCAGGAGGAGAAGAAGCAAAAACCCAAAAACCCGTATCAATGGTGGGGAATGCCCCTTTTAAAGGTTTCCCTCAAAGATGTTTCTCCATGAACAAAGAAAATTCCTGATTTCCAAGGTACCTGGCCTTGGGACAAAAGGTCACAGAGATACCAGACATAGGACATTCCAGGCCTTAGGCGATGTGTATTACTTCTTCCTGCTGTCCTTTCAATGATAAAGAGATTGGCCTGAGGCCCACCCACAATAGCCGAGGTAATGGCCGATACTTCAGGTGGGGAATTGATATGCTAATAGCACCACTGTCCCTTGGAAGAGACGTGCCCTGGTGACTCCAAGACATGGTGGGGAAATTCTCTTTTACTCAGGGACCCAGAATACCCTAACTGCCTACTACCCACTAACTCCTCTCTCATTCCGCCCCCCAGAAGAAGTGACCCTAACTGCTGTTAGGGGACTGGGACGACGACCGTTCTTAACTGCTTCCTGCTGACAGAGGGCGTAGTTCAAAGGCAGCAGTTGGGTATTCCTCTGGGGGTCGGTCTAAGGGTCCCCAGTGGAACGTAGAAGTCATCAGAGGTGCCTGGCAGAAGTCATCAGAGGTGCCTGGCAGGTTGTTTTGGCTCTTGATGTTCCTTCTTGTTGAAGTCTAGATGACAAAACAAAGACAATTATTATATCTCCCAACCTAATATGTAATGGGCTTGGTGGAAGCATCAGTTTAAATACTTGAGTTTTAGAACTTAGATATGAGAAACATTTTGTTGAACATTGGACTTGAGCAGTGTTTAAGGCTATGAACTAGATTTATCAGTTTGAAATAGTTCTTTTTAAGCTCAAGTTTTGAGACCATTAGACTCAATGAACATTATAGAACACATGAAACTTTCTGAGCTACATGAAATTGCTATCTAGGTCCATTAGAAGGCACAGAACTAATGAAAGTTAACATGTAGCTTTAGGACTTGAACCCGTATAGGGCATGTAAACATTAAGTTTCCATGGAGTTACAATTTCGTCTAGCATTGATGATTCTGAATTAAGATTTAAACTTACTTGACTTTTAAAAATACTACAGTTGCTTTGTATACAAATGGTGGATTTTTAAAATAACAATTGTACTTTACCAGTTGCTGGAAACCCTAAGAGTGTCAGAAGACATTGAGCCTAGAACATAAAGCACAGCGCTGAAAACATTTCATTGCAAGACTTATCTGGATCATAGCATAGATGGCAAAAGACTAAACTAGTTGTGAATTACAATAACCCAGCAGCTTATGAGTAAGAATTCACAACTCCACACATTAGGGTAAAGGCAATGAACTAGTCCTGTAGTTGTAACAAGCCATACATTGACAGTTGGAGAACAGAAGAGTCTTAAATATATGAACAGAGAGATCCCCAATAATTTAGTAGATGAGGAAGACATGAACCCTGCTTCAGAATGGTGAGGGTGTTCTACCTAGTGATGTCTAGTACAAACTGAAGAGTGATGGCAAACATGCCCTGTCAGGAGCCTGGTCAGCGATACAGGCTGAGCAGTTACAGGCTAACTAACTTTTCCCTAGAAAAACTTCTTTTCTGAGCTTCTAGATTAATCTGTCTGTCACCTAAGCTAATTTGGGACTCCTGAGAGACCCTGATGGTCACCCTGAGAGAGGGAAGAAGCCCAAGCTAGCTAGGACAGAGAAGGCAGTGTCCAGATGGAAACTTAAAATTTTCCCTTCCACTGTGAGAACCACCCGGGGCTCCTGGGTGCTGTTTCGAGGTGTCACCAAAGTCCGTGGATGGCCTTGAGCCTGTGCAGGTTCCAGGGCTGCTTCCGTCCCATGTGGGAGATCCAATGGGAGATGACTGACCTGAAGTACTTGGCCTTCAAGGACAGTCAGATCTCCAATGACCTCCTTGGCAGTTGGGACATGGCCCTGGGCGTCCTTTCTGACGAAGTGTCCATTGCTTCTGCAATGAAGAGCACTTGGGAGGCCTCCGGGGGTCTCACTGGAACCAGGAGCACACACCTCTCTCATCCTGCTTTGCCATGGGATCCCCTCCTGGTCTGAGGTAAAAGACCATGGTGACCCCTTTAAGAGGATATCAGAGAACGTTCAGGTCCCATTTGTAAGTCTCTAAAATGTTCTATCCTAATGTCCAGGGCAGTTAAGAATCTGTTATCTATATATCACCTATTCTTCTCTACATAGAATCTAGTGGAATATACTCAAAGTCATTCCTCAAGCATTTTAAGAAGCTGGGGGATTTCTCTGTGGCTCTTAATCTCAGATTTGCTTAAATCAAAATAAAAGGTTCAGATTAGCAATTCTCATTTATGAACATTTGTCCATAGTCAATTGAAATAGACTACATAGCTTGTCACGTATATCAGATAACATACATTATAAAGTAAAACTTTTGTAACAGCTTTTGAAAAATCTCTTTAAGTGTTTTAAAGTTACCACATCTTGCTCTTAGTAACACTGGTTGAAGGTGCTTTTGGTTGGAACCTGTAGCTTACTGCTTAGCTTTAGTTCTATCTGCAATGGATGCAGTAGTATCTGTTGGAACTAGAAGATGAAGCATTCATTGTCAGAATTATAATAACAAATATAAACATCTATTCATACAGCACACTGTGGAACCACCTGTAGGACTTATACACACATTTGTACTGTTTAGGCCTTGTTCATTAGGATAACAGCTGTAAACAATAAAGCAATAAGATTATTAGACTTTAGTGATGTTTTCACATTTGTACCAATAGCAGTCTGTTAGGTTAATAGTTCATTATACTGGAACTAGAGCTAGCTAGCAGATTTAGTCACCAATAAGATGAAAATAACTTGAAGTTAAAAAAAGTTGCTTTGACAAATAATCAGATTTCAATTCCACTGTCCCAAAGATGAACATTAAGATGTTGTACACAATGTTCAATTGTACCATACATCCTTTAAGAACTTGCTGTCTTCCTGTAAGACAAAGTCTCACAAATGATGCTTTTTGCAAGTTAGAACATAAATAATCAACAATGCAAGAATACAAATAATTCCACAACGTGATACAGCTTCGCGATTAAAAGACAACTTGATCAATAAACATAACCACCAGTATATGCATCAGCAGTTTTTGAAACTTCACCAAGAATCTTTGTAATTATGCAAGTATTCTTTAACTTTAGTTAGAACATACAAGCTCACACACAGAATCTGCTCCTCCTTATAGCAAGCACTACTCTGGGTGTAAACACTGTAGGCCAGATCTGGTCAGAGCTAGGATGGCACTATAAATCAGTAGATGGTTAAACTTCAAGACCAAATAGCAACAAAAGCAGCAGAAAACATTGCAAAAACACTGAGAACTCATCGCTGAAGCCAGTTGCAATGACACAGAAAAACTTTGATTTAGCACATGAACACAGCATTAACAGTGAGATACACTATGAAGCAAAAGGCACATAGAATGAAATACTAGTTGTCGGGGTCAGAGGCAACTGCAAAGGGAAGGAATCTCTCAGGCTATAAAGAGTTAATGAATTTTAAGTTCTCCCTGGGGGTGCAGGAGTCTGGGGTCTGGCCCATTGTTAACTAGCAATATTCCCGTTGGTTCCCGAGATCAGTGACCAAGGAGAGACAAAATGAACTTCTACCTCCTGTTAGATCTCTAACAATTAAGCCTAAAATGAAACAATTAAAGCTAAAAAACAGAACAGGGAAGGTCCAAGGTAAAAGCCAGTTGTGTGCTCCACGTGGCGGTGGAGCCAGCACAGCACAGCAGCATAGCCATGCAAAGAGGCCCATCCAGACTAACTCTCTCCACTCTAAAGCTCAAAGCTGGCAGCCAGGCTGTGGCATCCCTGTAATTGCGGAGGCACCCCAAGGGGTATCTCCGTTCAGCCCCCCATTCCTGTGACATGCTAGCTCTGGGACTCCTGCCAGTACAAGTAAATCCTGGTTTTGCACCTGGACATACTTGTCAGAATAGCATGTGCTGGGAGCACTGAAATGAGGATAGAAACTAGAAGCGTCCCTCAGTTTCTATCTCTCCCGAGTCTAAGACGTCTCTTAGGACTCCTATAGCTCGCCCGTGGTGTCCAGGTGTGTGCTGCTGAAGACCACAGAAGAAGGGAGGAAGGTGGGAGTGAAGTCAGCACACTTGACTCACGTCGCTCGACCTTCCACGCCTTGTGGGATGTCTCGGTTAGAACAGCATGTGCCAGGAGTGAACAATCCGCTCCTGTTTCCTGCGCCATGCTAAACCTAGGCCTCTGCCTGGTGCAATACTCTGATGTCCTGAAGAACATATAAGTCAGAAACAGCATGTGCCAAACTGCACCCTGCTGCATCTGGGACTTCTGCCGGACAAAATATGCTCTCCTTTTGAAATTTGCTCTAACCTCGAGCTGACAAGCCTGACCTCAAACTTTTGCCTAATAGCATCCTATAGGCCTGTGTAATAAATGTCCTTAACTAGAGCTGGAGGAGTACGTGTGTTGACTCTGGCTTTCTGCTCACATTAGCGACCACACTCGTTAAAGCTAACCTGGAGGAACTGTCTCTGCTGACTGCCTTGTGAAGGAATTAAGCACTTTCCAGTTAAGTTTATCTTAGATCTCGTCTTTAGAGGGGCCTAGAAAGAAACTCTGCCTGACTTTTCATTTTCCCCATCACAAACCAGCTGGTATTTAGCACATACTGACCCAAAAACTGAATCCATAGAGAATGAGGAGACTTAGTGAGAAAAAGCCTTTGGAGAAGATATCAGAAAGGTAACGGAGGACTCATCAGTGCCCGAGGCCATTTGGGAATTGAGGCACACAGCCCAGGGCTCGTGGCCTCGCAGTGGTGACGACTGAGTCCCCGCAGAAGGAAGGAAAGAGTGCAGATTTCAGCCCGACACCCTGACGGGCTGTCGGAGTCTGGGGTACAGTCCAGAGGCCTTTCGAAAAGCATCAGGGAGTGGCCCTGACCAGAATTTCTGAGGCGCCCTAAGACTTCTCCCAGTCTCACGCGACGGGCTTAGTCCGCGAAAAGAAACTGAGTCTGGACAAAACCGACATTCCTGGAGCCAAGGACCCCAGCTCCAGGGGATCAATTTAGCCAAACTCAGCAAGCCTCGCCCCTGAGTCTTAAGACCGGCAGCCGCGCTAACCGCATTTAACTGGCTGACAGGGACCCGGTGTTTCTTTTTCCGAGAGTTACTAATTGTGGAGAGCTAGTGTCTCCGAAAAACAGGATAGAGTCCGCTTTGCTCACCGTCCGACGAGATGGATGTCTGGAGGCTGGCTGGAGATGAACTCAAGTCTCGCTGGTAGAATCCGAGTCACACGGCACCAAAACTGTTGCAGGAATTTTGACTCCGAGTATGGCAGCAACCTCAAATTCTTGTCTCGCAGGAAAGAAGAATTTTCATGCGGACACAGTTTAGTTTTAAAGCAGGATTTATTAGAAAGGCTGAGAAAAGAAGACTCCCGTCCTAGCGACGGGAGGGGGTTTTGAGATAGAAAAGACCCTTACCTCCTGCCATAGTGGCAGGAGGAAAAGGACCCTAGTCCTCTGCCATAGTGGCAGGAGGAGAAGAAGCAAAAACCCAAAAACCCGTATCAATGGTGGGGAATGCCCCTTTTAAAGGTTTCCCTCAAAGATGTTTCTCCATGAACAAAGAAAATTCCTGATTTCCAAGGTACCTGGCCTTGGGACAAAAGGTCACAGAGATACCAGACATAGGACATTCCAGGCCTTAGGCGATGTGTATTACTTCTTCCTGCTGTCCTTTCAATGATAAAGAGATTGGCCTGAGGCCCACCCACAATAGCCGAGGTAATGGCCGATACTTCAGGTGGGGAATTGATATGCTAATAGCACCACTGTCCCTTGGAAGAGACGTGCCCTGGTGACTCCAAGACATGGTGGGGAAATTCTCTTTTACTCAGGGACCCAGAATACCCTAACTGCCTACTACCCACTAACTCCTCTCTCACTATGACACGCGGCGCTGGTATCTCTAATGTCAGGGGTAGGCAGGGTCCAAGGGGGCACCTGGTGATTACTATAAACAATCCCTGGGGATGAGGTGGAAATGATCCATTCTGGGCTCACTCCCAGTTACCTCCAGCCAGCATTCTAGCCTGCCCAGCCCAAGAGTCTCCCACATGCACTGCAGAGACAGACTCAAGTGAATCATGACCCACAACCTGCCAGGGTTTGCTCAGGGTGGAGTCGGGAGCCAGAGCCAGGCATCAAAGCTAATCACTGCAGTATGGAATTTGGGTGTCCCAAACATTGGTTTGCCCCTGAATCAAAGGGTACACCTTCTGTGTGGATAGTTTGGATAGAGGGAAGGGACTATGTATTTACTGAATATTCAGAGGCTATTGAACAGCCTCTGAAATCATCTGTAAAAATGATTTGTTGTTAATAAAAGCCCATCATCTTAAGAATTAACCAAATCTGGGCCCGGCACGGTAGCCTAGTGGCTAATATCTTTACCTTGCATGTGTCAGGATCCCATATGGTCATTGGTTCTAATCCTGGCTGACCTGCTTCCCATCCAGCTCCCTGCTTGTGGCCTGGGAAAGCAATTGAGGATGGCCCAAGGCTTTGGGATCCTGTACCCATGTGGGAGACCCAGAAAAGGCTCCTGGCTCCTGGCTTCAGATCGGTTCAGCTGCAACTATTGTGGCCACTTGGGGAGTGAATCACCAGATGGAAGATTTTCCTTTCTGTCTCTTCTCCTCTCTGCATATCTGACTTTGCAATAAAAATAAATAAATCCTTAAAAACAAGAATTCACCAAAAACAAACATTTTTTATACAGCATATAAGAAAAATACAGCTTAAAGAATTTAAGCGAACACGCCTAATGATATTATTTGCCTGAAGTGAAGGTTTTTAATTTAGATTGTTGTAATTACATAAGATTTTTTTCCATATGTGTGCTAATTGAAATTATCTGGGCTAAGTGGATTTAAGAATAGTGCAGAGAAAAAATAGTGACTAACATTCAAGAAAACCAAATCCTGATATTCTCATAAAGACATGTGAGGCTATGTCCTACGTAGCCATGTGTTTCACTGTCTAAGGAGGTCAGAGGATAAAAATAAAGCACCAGATAGCTTCAGATGTTACATGCTCAGAGGATTGTCTGTGCAAGCACGTGCGTTTGTGGCGTGTAATCTGGCTGGTTTATAATCATCTGTTGCCAGCTGCATGACAAAAACCAGTTTGCTATCACTGCTGTTTACTTTTTTGAACATGTAATAACTATACTGATCTTAGTCATAGTATCATAATGTGAAAACACTTTAAGTTCTTGAAACATACTTTTGTTTGAGAAGGCTTGTAATAGAAGCTGATATTGCAGATACTACTATATAAACGTTTGCCTATGATGGGCCAGCTTATGAATGAGTCTAGTTTGACAGCTTGTCATTTGGAATACTGGTGGACTCATGAGAGGTCATAGCAAAAAATAAATTTGGGATTGTAAATAATGTCTGACCTGACATTTCCATTGTGGGGACTCCAGTAATGGGGTCTGGCTGTCAAACACGATGCTCCACTGAATTGTATGGGAAAACAACATTTTTTTTTCCAAGTTGAAGTTGATATTATAAATTTAGACCCATGGCTGAATGCCACTTACTTTTATGCTTTACAACTCAAACCAGGTTACTTTATGCTGAAATCACACACACACACACACACACACACACACACACACACACACACACACACACATCATTCTGCCAGGCCCCATCCTTCCTCCCTTCTGACAGACTCATTCTTTTGTTCTCAAAACACAGGTAGGAAATAGACCCTGTTGATTAAATTTTCCTAGCTGAAGCTGTATGATGAAGAGCTTTAGGAACTGATGCTGAATTGCCAGGGGGCGTTTAATCAGGGGCAAGGCAACACTGCAGATTTTTTCTGAGGCTGAAAGACCCTCTCCGAAGACAGGATAGGGAATGGAAAGACGATTCCTTTGAAAGAAAGAAAACCTGGGTTCTCGCTTATTTCTGCTATTGTAGGTTTGCTCCTTGTGCACGATAGCAACAATTGGAAAAATGGCCTCTTGCTCACTGGTTCATAAGTCAAAACCTTGTGAATATTTGTGGAGATACTTCAAAATTACACCTCCATATATACTCTATAGCCACTAAAAACAAAGACAAGTTTTCGAGTCAAAATTCTACTCATGTTTTTGGAATTCACAAAGTCTCGACAGACACAGCTTAAATAAATCATAAAGATAATTCTCTCCAGTGTTTTCGTTTTTCAAAGAGCAGAGTGACCTACATGGAGATTGTAGGGTTTCTGGGACAAAGTTCAAATTCCAAGTTCATCTTTCAAGTTCCTATATGTTTTGTCCTTAGGACACCCTCGCGGATACACCTTTGCGAGCCCCACACACACTCATGTCCTCAAATTTCACTTTAAAGACTTGTATTATAGTACTGTTGTACACTTTTTTTGGCTATTGATATGCTGATATCTTTGCTTAAGATTTCCCCACCTGCATCACTAAGCTAGTGTAAAATGCGAAGAATACCCTGAAGAAATCACAGCTTATTATGAAAACAACCTGACCTTACAAATGTTTTATCTGACTTGTTAAGCATGTGCTTTTTGGGAAAATGCAGAGGGGAAACGAACTAAGTTCTCAGATTCAAAGGATTGGAAAGATTTATGTTCCTTCTACCCATCAGAGATCCACAGCAGAGCTAAGCACGACAAAGCTTGAGCATTTTTGAAAAAAAAAAGATAGTATTAGTTAGTATTTCCTAACTTTTGCATCTGGTGACAGTTCCTTCTTTGATGTGCAAGTTACAAATATCCTTGAAATAATAATGGCAAATGCCTGTTCAAATTTGCACACAGCATTTATTGCATAAAAATTATACAATTTCAGAGAACTGCACTATATTTTTATCAATACAACTCTTTTACTTAGTGATGATTATAGTTGCCATATATAGGTGCTGATTATAAATTAGAGGATGTTATGATTAAGATATTTATAGTATCTTAAAATCACAGGCATTTTCATCATTATTAGGATCCTCAATGCCACCCTTTTATACTCACATCTTCTTTTCTTCTTCCTATATTGCTTTCTGCTTTTTTTAAGTCTTACTTGTTTTTATTGGAAAGTCAAAGACACAGAGGAACAGAGACAGAGAGGAAGATCTTCTGTCTGCCCACTCACTCCCCAAGTGACTGCAACGGCCAGAGCTGAGCTGATCCAAAGGCAGAAGCCAGGGGCATCCTTCGGATCTCCCACGTGTGTGCAGGGTTCCAAGGCTTTAGGTCGTCCTCAACTGCTTTCATAGGTCACAAGCAGGGAACTGGATGGGAATTGGAGATGCTGGGATTAGAACCAGTGGCTATATGGCATCCTGGTATGTACAAGGCGAGGAGCCTTGTCACCAGGCTATTGCACTGGTTCCTGTACTACATTCTTAAGTTCAACAGCTGCTAATCTCTTCTATATCAATGTACCATACTTTATTTAATCATTCACCTATTGAATGTCAATTTCATTACTCCCAGCCTTATGTGATTTTAAATAGAGTTAATATGGACAGGTTTTCATGAATATGAATATATTCCTATATATGAATAAAGCTGAGTGAATAGGTTTTTATATGACTATAATTCCTCCCCCTTGGTAAAATGCTTACGTGTGCATTAGGTAGTTCATGCGGAAGTTCAACATTTAGTTTGGAAAAACTGTAAGCTGTTTTATTATGCACTCATTTTGCATTCCTAAAAGTAACCGTGAGTGATTTAGTTTGTCTACACCCTAACCAGCATGTGGTGTTGTCACGGTTTTGAAGATTTATGATAGTAATGTTCATGTTCCTAATGCCAAATAAGAGAGAGGGAGAGAGGGGAGAGGAGGGAGGGAGAGAGAGAACAAATATATGCACAAATATGCTGGTTGACTCCCCAGATAGTCGTATTTTGACCAGGTGGACATCAAGAGCGCAGACCACCCGGGTCTCCCACGTGGGTGGCAATGACCCCCGTGATTGGGCTATCAACTGCCGCTTTCTAGGGTGTGTGTTACCAGGAAGCAATAACAGGGAACAAATACCAGAACCCAAGATCCCTGATATAGGATGGATGCATCAAGTCATACCTTAACTGACTGCTCCGTCAAATACCTGCCTTCTTTTTTTATTTGTTTCTTTCATTTTAAAAAGAATTTATTAATATATAATTTTTCAGCATCACAGAAAATATATAAACATTACTACAACCCAATTTTCATGTTAGTGTGATTTTAATAGGAAGAGGATACATTCAATACATTCAAAAGATGCAATTCTAACAGAGGGATTTTTCCTTCCTCATTCCCTTTTGGCCCTCTATCTCCCACACATATTTTTTAAAAATAATATAAAGGTGCGTGGTCTTGTGTTTTGAGTGTGGATATTTGATTTTGTATCTTCTTATTAAATCAATCCTTTTTATCAAAATACACTATCCTTTGTGAGAAAGAGAAAGAGAGGAGAGGAGAAATCTTCCATTTGCTGGCCACAACGGCTAAAGCTAATACAATCTGGAGCCAGAGCCAAGAGCCACTTCGAGGTCTCCCCTGTGGGTGGAAGGGCACAGAAGCCTGGGCCATCCTCTGCTGCTCTTCCAGGCTATGAGCAGAGATCTGTATGGGAAGTGGAGAAGCTGAGACACATATTGGCATCTGGTAAGGGAGCCGTGCACCAGCAAGTGGAGGGTTAACCTGTGAACCACAGCACTGGCCTCGATTACTTGATTTCTTTAAGCTGTCTATCTGTATTTTCTAAAGGTGCACTGGGTTTCCTCATAATCATTATTTTAAATTCTATTTTTAATACTCTACAGATTTCCTTCACATCAGGATGCAACTCTGGAACACTAGTGTGTCCCTTCTGTGGTATCATGCTGCCTTGTTTCTTCACATTCCCTGTGTCCTTTCATTGATGTCTATTTATCTTAAAGTTCTAGTTATTTTTTAAGATGTATTTATTTATTTCTATTGGAAAATCAGCTATACACAGAAGAGGAGAGATAGAGAGAAACATCTTCCGTCTGTCAATTCACTCCCCAAGTAGCCGCAACAGAGCCACAAGCAGGGAGCTGGATGGGAAGCAGGGCCACAGGGACATGAATTTGGTACCCATATGGGATCCTGATACGTGCAAGGTAAAGACTTTAGCCAATAGGCTCCCATGCCCCACGCTGTTTATCTTACTTTGTACGGAGATTTATTGGAAAAAAGAGTTCACTGGGGCTGTTGCTTTGGCTTAGGTTCCAGGTGAAGCAAGAACCTACCTCTGAGTTATTTCTTTTGTTTCTATAATCAATGTAAGCTGCAATTGTAAGTGACACAATGGTTTGACCTGCGGCCATTCATAGCGATGGAAACTTCTTTGAGGTGAATATGGGATTCCTAGGGTGTGTCCTTTTAAGCCACCAAGGGACTGATGTGAGCTACTCTGGAGATTGTGATAACAACAGCCTTGTTCTCCGTAGTGAGGGAGACAAAGGGAGGCACCTTCTTGTCCCTCTGGTGAGGCTGAATGATGCTGGTGTGTGACACGAATAGAATTTTATGATGCAGATGGGCCTTTCCTCAGTTCCTGCTGGGAAAATACAACTGAGTCAGCGCTTCAAACAGCAACAGTTATAGTTAGGACTGGCAGCTATTTCCCTGACCAGTTCAGTATGAACTGGGTTGGAGATGGTGTGATGTGCAATTGGGAAAATAAGAAATTAGACAGACACAAGTTAAAGACTACGAAGGTGGGTGGCCAGAGGAAAGAACCTTTCTCTGAGGAAGAAAGTTGATCTAGAAACCACAATCTTTTATTGAACTGGTGGGAAATTCAAATGACAGGAATTGATGTGGCATGAGTGTTGAGAGTTATGCCATATTTTGACGTTAACAATCCAATGGTTAATGATTAGGAAGTAACAACATGATCTAAATACAGAAGTCAGTATATGACTGTCTCAAAGATATCTTCAAGCACACAGTCCTGTGGCCTTGGACTGTTGTCCACCTATGGACCCTTGCCCACTGGCTTTGACCTTGGTCTCAGACTTTTGCCCAATCATGGATGATTGTCCACAAAGTTTGACTTTAGTCTCTGGCACCAGCAGTCTGTGAACTCAAGATACAAGACACAGACTATCTTGCTCTGCTTTATCAAGCACACTGTTACTTTTTACAAACTGCCTATGACAGATATAAATTGAATCCTGATCTGGTTCTACAAGGTGACGACCGTAAGTCTTACAAGAGATTTTTGCCTCTTGCGGCAAGGATATGGACTGGTGAAATGCAGGCAAGTACTTCCATAGGCCCACAGATAGATTCCAATGTGTTTGAGGAAAGTAATACTAGTTGTTACAGTACTGCTGTTGCAGGGCACAATGGGGTTATTGCCCTGATCTTCCAAGCTGAGAGCCAGGTGTTGACGACAGTGGTAGCACTCCAGATATCATGAGTAAGTGCAAATTACTCCAAAGATTATAATAGCAACAGTAACAGTCCTAAGAAACAGCCTGTTTTCACAAAGGCATTGCTTGTGTTTGTGCCCAGGGCTACAAGCATGCGAACTAAGAGATACGGAATGAACTTCTGTAGGTTCTGTTCAGATTTTCATGGACTCCTGTTGGTGCTATCCCAGAGAGGTTGAGGGGAATTGTCCCTCCCCTCTCTCTTGTATTTTCTAGAATGAGTGACTGAAGCTCTGGAGCTCATGCCCAGTATGCCCACAGCTGTAGAATGCATGAGATATGTTCTCTGTCTCAGTAGTTGCCTTGGATCTGACTCTGATTGTTTCTGGTAGCAGCAGAACAGAAATCAGCAGTGTGACTTTTCACGGCTAACTGGTTCCAACCCACTGCAGGGGTAGGGAGAGGGAGCGAATGATGGTGGCACACTCCCTCAGTTAAAGCTGTTGCTGGCAGGGCAGGTGGCCACGACTTTCTACCTTGTTTTGGGAACGTTGTGGCTCCCATCTGGCAGCTGGCTGCACCACATGGCTGGCTTCAGCAGTGTGTCTGTCCTTTTTCCTTGGCACCACACAAAGTCTTTGTTCTGCTCTTGTCACATCTCCAGTAAAAAATTCTGTCATCAGTCCCCTGCACATGTGGTCCTTACTTTGTTTTATTTGTATCCTGCTGTGGCTGAAGTCATTCTAGCTTCTCACTAGTCAGTCATCTTGGATCTTTTCTTTCTTTCTTCTTTTTTTTCACTGTTGAGTGTTGGGAGTTATCCATAGACTTTGATACTTGAGATCATCTTTGTTTTGACATCTGCTGATTGGCTTTCTACATTTGGTATAAAATCATGGTGACTTTTGGTAGAATGAGTGGTTTTCTATTCAAGTTGGTTGGGATAGTGTAAAACTCTAGATCTTGTTTAAATAAGAGCTGAGCTTCTCTGGAAGGGGACAGGCAAGCACGTCTTATTACTAAAAGATTGATGTAGAAGTTCCTTAGATGATCTCCAGGGATCCTAAGGATCACGTGCCTATAGAAGTGGAGGCCTGGCTGCCTTCATGATCCCTACTGAAACCACGGTAGGGGTGACTTCACACCTGTTTGGATAATCCTAGAAGTCCTGCATTTTCACTGCACGATAGCAGTCTCCTAATGCTGAGAGCTATGGTAGGTTGAGGCAGAAGTCCAAACATTTCACATGGTCTCTTAACTACACAGGCTCATACTGGCTATTGCAGTTGGAATTCTTCCTCCAAACTTGGCCTTTAGTCTTTGGTATTGGATCCCCGATGACAGCCTGTGAGATGTGAAGGCCAGGCTTATCCTCACATGGCTTTTACTAATGTGATTGTGAATTGAACATCATTTTCTTTGATGTTTGGCTTCAGTATATTGCTTGCAATTTTTACGCATTATTATGCCTTTTCATTTCCTGCTTCTTTTTGTTAGAAAGAGCAATTTGTTGTTGGAGATTTTTCTCTTTATCCACTGGCTTTTCTAGGCAGCTGTCCCTTTCAATTCCCAAACATGAACCTTGAGTCAAAATTAAAACCAGAAACTCACTACTATTTTTTTTTCCCCCTAGATATCAACGTTTCTCTCTAATCTTCATTCCAGTTTTCAACTTTATGGTCTTTTGTTTGTGTTATGTATAATTCCTACAGGTTTAGATTGCACTTATTAGGAGAAAAGTGAGCTTATTCCATTTTCCTGGAGATGGAAGTTTTTTGTAAATGATATTACATATTACTATTTTTATATTGAAAGAATGAAGTTAAAAGGAAGCGATGAAGAAGAACCCGAGAGAGAACAAGAGTGCATGCCCTCATCTCTCTGTTCAGTCTGCAGGTGCCTGCAATAACTCCTGAGGAAAACAAGGAGAAGGAAGAGAAGGAGAATTGGAGGAGAATAGGGGGAGGAATAAGACAGCATATTCTAGAACTTAATGTAAGTTTTCTGCTTTGGTGACAGGAAGCTAGTTATTTGAACACCTGCTGTCTTCCGGGACCAATATCAGGAGAAAGCTGGAATTGGAAGTCAGATACAGGCAGGACATAAGCATTCCAGTGAGTAGCTTAATCAGTAAGCCAAATTCCCATGTTTTTTTTTATCAATAATTTAAAATAATCAATTTGAATAGTTTTCAGATGCAGATATAATGTGATGCTCTTTATACATTATAATGTTTTATATATTACATACATTATTATATTTTATTCACAATGAACAATGCGTCACTCATCATTATGTCAGGTAATAGTGAATACCAAATTTCATCAAGAGTATGAAACCTAGCTAGGAAAGTGAAAAATACAGAATTCAAATCAGGTCTCTATTCTCGTTCTCTTAATCAGTGGCTGACTCACTACAAATCTATGCTGTTGGCAGGTGATCAGCATAGACTAGCTCATCCCTTGGGCTGGTCATATTCTGTATCAGAGGATCTGGTCTGTAGCCTGGCTCATCCACTTCTGAGTTAGCTTTCTGCTACAGGCACTCTGTGAGGAGCAGATGATGGCTCATGTTCAGGGGTGCCTGACTGGAGTTCTGGACTCGTGGTTTTAAGCCTGTTTCTGTTGGGGAGGGAACTTGTTGATGGAAGAAATCTGTCTTTCTTTGACTTGCCTTGTGTCTCTTTGATTTTCAGACAAGAAGAAACTGTAAAATAAGTAAAATTCAACTCACAATATTAATTTTACTCTGTGTAGGATTGCCCTACTTTTAGAGATTTTTTTAAAAGCTGTTTATTGTTATTGGAAAGGCAGATTTACAGAATGATCTGCTGGTCCACTCCTCAAGGGGCCACAATGGCCATATCTGAGCTGATCCAAGCCCAGGAACCAAGAGTTACTTCCGGGTCTCCCACATAGGTATAGAGTTCCAAGGACTTTGGCCATCCTCCATTGCTTTCCAGGCCACAAGCAGGGAGCTTGGTGGGACATGGAGCATCCAGGCATGAACTACCACCCATATGAAATTCCAGTGCATGCAAGGTAATGATTAGTCATGCTGAGACCACTGAAGAGTGTTTTTGGTTTGTTTGCGGTATTTTATTTTTTTGCTTGTTTTCTGGTAGGCATTGCATTGCTGATGATTGAAAACATTTCTGAGAGCAAACAATAAAATTATAAGAGATGCAGTCATCAGAACCCACAAACGAAAATTGAGGAAAATTAAGGATCAGATAAAGAAGTTTTTCATGTCTATATTTAAATAACGTTCAGCTGGATGACACTTTGAAACTGTGCAGCTCTCTAGAGGACACGGCTGGGCCTAATGAGTAAGGATTACAAGTATATCAAGTGTGGGTTTCTTTTCAGGAAGAGTGGTTACAGATGCAAGAAATGAGAAGAACTGTGTCTGGTGGCAAGGGGCCCCACTGCTCACTGCATCCAAGCAGAAGCTGAACGTTTTGTAGTTGAGAAACATGTAAAGGTTTGGCACACATAACCAGAAAATCCCCCCTAATTCCTTGAACATTTAGTGTAGTGTTCCACATACATGCTTTTTAGTGCTGGAAAAAGCCCTTCTTATTTTCCTTCCCTTCTATATAACAACACCAGTCTCCTAAAATGACCATGAGGATTGGATGAGGACATGGTACAAAGTATGTAGGAGCATTCTTGCCAAGAAAACTATTACTAAATAAGCATTATCAGTGATAAAGATGTTAATAATATTCTGAAGGCATTGCAAGATACTTAAAAGATTCAGACTATTACAGGAAAGATAGCTTCAGGAATGGGTCAATAGTCCTGAACAGTTAACATAAATAGACATAAGCAATTGAAAATATTATCATACTCAACTTTCCCACAAAGGTTTTATTATATTATGACTTTTAACTGGATATATCAGTAATACTTGCTATATATTTTTTAAAGATTTGTTTATTATTTGAAAGGCAGAGTAACAAAGATAGAGGTCTTTCATCTGCTGGTTCACTCCTCCAGTGGTTACAACGGCCATAATTAGACTGGGCAAAAACTATTAGCTAGGAGCTCCTTTTAGGTCTTCAACCTGAGTTCAGAGACCAAAGAATGGGGCCATTTTCTGTGGCTTTTCCCAGCACATTAGCAGGGAGCTGAATTAGAAGTGGGGCAGGGTCTGGCATAACAGCTTAGTTGGCTAATCTAAAAACAACAACAACAAAATAATCCACACAGAGTAGCTAGGGCTTGAACCCATGTGGATGATGACACCATAGACAGAGGCTTAGCTTGCTATGTCACAACACCTGTCCTGATATTTGATACATTTAGCATTTGCACCACTTTCATGCATTGAGTGAGAAATAACACATACAAGTATGAACTCCCAATTATATGTTTATTCAGGTTTTTTCGAAGCTCATTTATCACATTAGTTAAGAAGTCCCCATCTCCAAATTGCCATTTGACTTTTGGCAAGTATTTCGATATCTCCTAAACTTCAATTTCCTGTTCTCAAGATTAGAGGTTGATTTCCATGCTGTGACAAAGGTATGACATATGGTTGTTTTCCCTTTTGAAATGAATGCATATGTCTAAAGAAGACATAAAAACTGTATCATTGCAATTAACAATTTTTTTTTAAGAAGGCCACATTTCTACCATCAATGTCAGCATCTCCAGTGAGGAGAGCTCACCTTATCAGTGGAAGAACAAAGTCTAGGCAAAATCTTGCTTCGGTTTTAGAAGCAGTGATTTCATGAACCAGAGCCATGCGTGTAGACTCTCACGTTCTTAGATGAATCAGCTACTTTCTTCACTACCTCTTGAAAAATCCCTGACCTGTGGAAGAGAAGTTTGCATTACTTGTTTCACTTTCCTCATGAGAAAAAGAGGCCTCGAGTGGCTAGGGATTTGGAACTTGTTCCAAAAAGACACTTTCACAGTTAGATCATGTGTTATGATGACATATTTTCCAGTCAATCTGTTGGAATATTTTCATCCTTTCAAGCGCTGGGGTTGTCAAGGAGGTGTCTGCCTTCTACATAGGAGTTCTATATGGATTCATTGCCTACGAGTGTATGGGTCTGGGATTCAGTCTGCCAACCTCAAGATTCACTTTTATGTGTTCTTCAGCAGCTTTGCTCCCACCCACCCTGTCCTGGCGGCTTGACTACTCTGCTATCTTCACTTATATATCTAGGCTGTAGTTTTTTTTTGTTAAGCCTTTCAGATTTTTTCTTTGTAACATGCAGTATGACATTTCATTTCCTATGCCACATCCAGGGTTTTTCAAAATCCTGTTCCCTTGACCTTTGCTGATGTTTTCAGCAAAAGCCCCTCTGTACCTAAAATCCAAGAGCTGAAATTCGCCCCTCATCAATATTTTGTACTCTTGTTTTTCTGAGCATTTGTGATTCCATTTGAATCGTTTATAGAATCATTTTCTTCAAAATTTTATACCTAACAACCTCTCATACCATCTCACATGAAAGGGAAATTTAACTATGG